CTGGACTAGAAAGGCACTTCACAAAAACAGGATAAAGAAAGGCTTAGGCACCACGGGCAGTGAGAGGATGTTCAGAAAGCCGTGTGGTGACCAAGACCAAGGCTGTCCCTCAATAAAGGAGATTCAGTGCAGAATGGAGAAGCCAAATTACCAGATATGAAGAATTACTGGATTGTGAAAGCAGATTATTCTTGGGAACTCTCAAGAAATTTAACAGGGAGGCAAAGAGAGAGGCTGTTAATTTGAGAAGCAAGATGGAAATTTTTTTTTTTGTAAAAAAGACTTGAAAAAGCTTGTAGATAACAAAAAAAGAATTCAAAAGAGAGGGGGGATTTAATACTCTTTATTGGCAGGAGGTTCACATTTCTAACCTAACTCTACAGTTCCATTCATTTCCTACTGCGCTGTTTTAAAGATCAAGAACTTCAATTTGCCTTCCTCTAATAGTGAAGACCTTCCTATGCTGGGGCCTATTATTCAACCCCTGCTCAGTCTTCACTTCTGGGTGAAAATATGAATTTATTAGTTCTTTCTCGTGAGTTTCATTTTCCAAACTTTTAATCATCTCCATGGTTTTTCCTTTGTGCCCTTTCCTACATCTTACAGAGTCATCTTTGGAAAAAAGTCCACAAGAGGATCTAACAATTCAATAAGGACGAAGCCTAAATTTAGTCTTTTATTTTTTAAAATATATTTTATTGATTTTTTACAGAGAGGATGGGAGAGGGATAGAGAGTTAGAAACATCAATCAGCTGCCTCCTGCACACCCCCTACTGAGGATGTGCCCACAACCAAGGTACATGCCCTGGACCAGAATCGAACCTGGGACTCTTCAGTCTGCAGGCTGATGCTCTATCCTCTGAGCCAAATTAGTTAGGGCTAAATTTAGTCTTTATAAGGTGGGTATATGATGATCCCTCTAAGCCAGTGCTTTGCAAACTCACTTTGTGTGGCTGTTTTATTTTCAAAGCAGAGGGACCATTTCTTGTAACTAAGTCATCTGCAAGATAAAAGGGGCTGCTCTGCATAGAGAGGGTAAACAAAATAGAGCTTCAGCCATTGAGCATTCCTCCTCCCCAGGCTGTAGAAGCCACTGGTATCACTCCATGCAGCTCCCGCAACTCCACACCCTCCTAACCACTCCCCAATCAGGATCTGAAAACCCCTGTTTTATAGCACTTGCTGATTTATGTGGTCAGGTGTTACAGTCATTGGTTAAGCGATAGTATAATAGTGCTGAATACGGGCTGTGTTCTGTTTATTAGTTTATTCGTTTCTTCCTCACAAAACACCTGTGCAAGTTATCTTTCTTTTATCAGATAAAAAAACAAACATTGCCTTTATCACTACATAATCTGTAGATCTTCCCTGAAACCTTTTCCTACTTAAAATGTTACCAAGACTTCTGGCCACATAATCGGAGACATTAGCTACCTCTTTTCTGAACAGCTTCATGACAGCTACGAACCCAATGATGTTCGAACACTGTTTTGAAGCCAGGACACTGATGAGCATAGAAATGGGTAGCATGGACCCAAACGCTTTGTGCTGCAAAGAAAGTATTTCTTCTTTTTCCCTCCCAAGTAAAGTCAAAATCAATAAAAATCCCTCCTCTACTAAATGTCCTGGAAGCACTGACCTACACAAGGTATAATCTATAGAAAGGGACAGAAAAGAATCATAAGAAGTGCATTTGTTCACCTCGCTTACTCACCTAATAAATTTAACAGCCAGGCCCAGGTCAGCTATACAGCAAGTGCCATTTTTCTTCACCAGGATGTTCTTACTTTTCAGATCTCGATGGGCGATTGCTGGCTTGCCTTGGGTACTAAAGATCTCGGTGTGTAAATGACATAAGCCACTGACGGAAGAATAGGCTAATTTCAGCATCGATTTAACATCCAAGGTGGTGGACTTCAAGTAATCATAGAGGGAACCGTTTTCATGATAGTCTGTGATTAGGTACAACTGGGTCCAGGACCCTGTTCCTTTGATATCGGCAGCAATGAACCCTAAAAGAAAAGAAGACAAAAAGACTTGGAGCTAAGTGTTTTCTGGATATCATCAGGAATAATTCATATTCTCAACTACCATGCTTTGTCATAGGTGTCTTTTGTTTAGCATTTCATTCAGTTTTTTGACTATGCCCCTCACAGTATGAACTTACTAATATCAATCAAAACAAGAGGGGTAGAGAACAATTAAGAGTTTGTATCTGAAAACATGACCTCTTTTTAATCAGCTGCGGATTTTTAAATGCTTTCCAATTAACAGTAGACAGCTCCTGGTATTATAGTCATACACAAGGCACTGCTTATAAAACAGGAACCCCAGTCAAAGCACACACTTCAGATCAACTTACACCCTTTGCAGTTGAATAATCCAAGTAGGTCAGCGGTCGGCAAACCGAGGCTCGAAAGCCACATGCGGCTCTTTGGCCCCTTGAGATCCAACTAGCCCAGTGGTCGGCAAACCACGGCTCGCAAACCCCTTGAGTGTGGCTCTTCCACAAAATACCACATGCGGGCGCGCACATACAGTGCGATTGAAACTTCGTGGCCCATGCGCAGAAGTCAGTTTTTGGAAAGGAGATAGACGAAACCAGTATACAAGATGAGTGTGGATGGGAGAGTTGGAAGGGGTCGACCTCAGTGAATGTACCTCAATCAGATGGAGGACGTTTTTAGCAAAGGCCAGCTTAGGAGTACCCTTATTAAGTTAGTAACAATGCACCTACCTATATAGTTGAAGTTTAAAAAATTTGGCTCCAAAAGAAAAAATCGTTGTACTGTTGATATTTGGCTCTGTTGACTAATGAGTTTGCCGACCACTGAACTAGGTCATTTCTAAGTTGAGAAAATAAAAAGGAATCAATTATCCATATCAACTCTGGATATAATAAACCCTGCTGATAAAATTCTTACAACTTTCCACAACATTTAAACAAAAAATTTGCTCCTTTAAAACCCTCAGAAACCTGAAGAAATGCCCGTATTGTATTTGCATTTCCTGGAGAGGACTCCATGTCCATCCCACCGCTCATTCACAAAAGTGCCTTAGTCATGCCTCCTGTGAGGTCTCCCCTTGGAAGCTTACGATGTCCCTGGGCTCATGCCAAGAAGAAAATGTCTATATATTTCAGAATGGGTGAAGATGAGTTCATATGCAGATGTTAACAGAAAAATAGAGAAAAGCTAGAAAAACCTGAACCGCGCTGTACACTCACCCAAAATGTTTTCATGCCTCATCAACACCGTCTGATAAATCTCTGTCTCTCGGAACCAGCTGGCCTCCTCGGTGGTGAAGAACACTTTCACGGCCACCTTTTCGCCACGCCACTTTCCCATCCAAACTTCCCCGTAGCGACCCTTTCCAATCTGTTTCACCATCTGAATCTGCTTAGCGATAGTCCTTTGGACCTGTTAGATCCCAAAACACACTGTTAGTATATTCATAGCACTACAGATTTGCTTAATCTTTTTTCCCCCTCCAGAGAAGAAACAATTACTGCATCTAAAATAGACTTAGCTGGTTTATTTAAGTTTTTATTTGATTTAGCAAATGTTTCTGGTCTTTCTCTACCTAAACTTTCATTCTATACTTCATTCTCAGATATCTCTTTTAAGGCTTGATTGTATAAATAAAATGCCTGTAAGATACAATCACTATAATTGTGAGTCCAAAAGAAAAAAAAGAATTATTTTATGTAAAATGGGTACAACTGTTTTTATGATAAAGGAGTTACCACTCTTTCAGAAATATAAACACTGAAAAACATACAGCTGTACATAATGCTCTGTACTCTCTAACATGTCCCTGAATTAGCAACACACACACACACACACACACACACACACACCCTACACACAAATATACAATTTAGAATACTTTGCTTAACAAGGCTGGGTTAATAATACATACTGAAAAGATTTTTTTGTTATTGCTAATCCTCACTTGAGGATGTTTTTCCACTGAGTTTTAGAGAGAATGGAAGGGAGGAAGGAGGGAGGGGGAGAGGGAAACATCAATATGAGAGAAATGCATCAATTAATTGCCTTCCCCACAAGCCCCAACTGGATCAAATCTGCAACCCAGGTACATGCCCTTGACTGGAAATCCAACCCCAGATCCTTTGGGCCAATGCTCTAATCACTGAGTCATGCTGGCCAAGGCTAGAAAGATTTTTCACAAAAGATTCTTCACTTAAGAGGCTTAATATTCAATTAGAGAATTTACTTCACTTTCTTTACCATTATAGGGTCAGATAAATAGGTTATAAATAAAAAATAATGTTACCATTTATTGAATATATACTATGTATTCAATAAATGCATATATGAATATATATAGTGGGAAGACACAAACTTTTTTAAAAACACATTTTTATTGATTTCAGAGAGGAAGGGAGAGGGATAGAGGAACTTCAGGATTAGAGAGAATCATTGATCGGTTGCCTCCTGCAGGTGCCCTAACTGGAACTCGAACTATGACCTCCTGGTTCAGAGGTCAACACTTAATTACTGAACCATGCCGGCCAGGCATAAACTATCTTAATTGTTACAACTACCCTAAGATATTCCTTCCTTAAAAATTGATACATAAAGATATTTGACAAAAAGATATATAAGGCATGAATTTTCCCCTTATGTTGAAATATATAACAAATTAGTATCAAGGTGAGATACTCACATACTTTTGCACACTTTGCATTGTTTTAAAACAAGATCTTAAATCTGTAATATTGATATTTTTCCTTCACTAGTTTTATAGGATCCTCTTCCCAGCCTGCCCCTATCCAATGCCTTCCTTTGTTTTATTTAACTTACATTTGGTTCACTTCTCACAAACATCAAGAACACACATTCCAGCCCTAGCCAGCTTGGCTCAGTGGATAGAGCGTTGGCCTGGAGACTGAAAGGTCCCGGGTTCTATTCTGGTCAAGGGCATATACCCTGGTTGCAGGCTCAATCCCCAGTAGGGGGTGTGCAGGAGGCAGCCAATGATTATCTCTTATCATTGATGTTTCTATCTCTCTCTCCCTCTCCCTTCTTCTCTGAAATCAATAAAAATATTTTAAAAAACTACCAAAAAAAAAAAAGAACAGATTCCAGAGGCAGATCATCTGAGTCTGAATCCTGGCTTCTCCACATACTAGCTAGTGGACCTATCTAGGCCTGTTCCCCTGGTGTGTAATGCAGGGATACAGTTTGAGAACTACCTCACAGGGTTGCTATAAGGATTAAATGAGATCAAATCTATAAAGGCCAGTATCTGGCCAGGATTCAAACCCTGGCGATCTGGCTGTTCTTAATCATTTTTTGATATAAGCCAAATGCTACTTTTCTGTATCTAGATTGTAGAAATAAGATAGTATTTTCAAGGACATTAAAAGTTGGAGTTGAAAGCTTTTAAAACAAATTATTGAACAGCCCCTTTAGTCAAATGGGGAGATACAGAGTGAACAAAGGATAGTCTCCACCCCTGAAGAAGTGAGAGCCCATCTAGACATAGACATATGAACATCAATTTAACAGTATTTTAATTGCTATACTGACACTATAAGTAAAATGTTATGACAGAGGATTAATAGATTGTCTCAGTTTGGTTAAGTTGTCACAGAGATAAAATGTGAGGTAGGACAGGAGCCAGAAGTCTGAAGAGCTCCCCATAAAGTTATTGTTTCATTCCATGTCGTTTCATTAAAATCTTGGAGAGATGCTGTAGGGACTTAACTCTTGTCTATGTCAATTAGCCTAAGGTAAAATTGGTTTTGTTATGTCATTTCAGAACCCATTGACGACGTCAAATGAGGACTTACTGCGTTTGAGAAACCATTACTCAAGGCTGATGCTAGGACTCGGGAGCAGGTAGAGAAGAGGTAGAAGATGATGTATGCCATGCAGACCAGGCTAATGTAGAAGACCCATAAATGCTATTGGACATTAGAATGTTTTATCCAGGGAAGTAACATAGTAAGGTCAAAGACTTCAGAGAGATAGCTCCATAGTAATGAGAAAGATGGGTTAGAAGGAGGAAAACAAATAGTTTTCAAGTCCAAGAGCATCAATATCTGATTCATTAATACCAAAAGGGATTTAAATATTTGTACTTGTCTTTTAAAAATGTATAGTATCTTAAATATAAGAACTATATTTGATATATATTAATTCCAAAATAAAAATCAAGTAATTTGATAAGGATTTTTACATAAGAAAAATGTACATCCTCAGTAGCATCAGTTTGGTCATAATGACTACTTCACAAATGGTTTTCTGTCTGGCTTATTACCTTCAGGGGAGGTATTAGTCAACATAGAGTATCAGTTATGCAAGATGAATAAGTCCCACAGATCTTCAGTGCCTACAGTTAACAGTAGTGTACTGTATTCTAAAATTTGCTAAGAGAGTAAATCTTATATCAAGTGTTATCATAAAATAATATTAGTAAACAAAGAGGGCATGAGGAAACTTTTGGAGGTGATGGGTATGTGTATAGCATAGATTATGGTGATGTTTCAGGTATATATTCATCTCCAAACTCTTCAAGTTGTATTCATTAAATATAAACAGCTTTTTGTATATCCAAAAATAACGTTAGAAGATAAATGCTTGCCTTGAGATTTTTTTTCAATGTTACTTTTAGTACTAAATAAAAAATGGCCTAAGGAATAAACAAGATATCCAAAGCCAGACCCAGACAACAAAGATTAGAAAAAATCAATCGTAAGAGTTTATAAAGGAAAATATTTCTCATTAAAATTGTTATTTCCAACCCCAGTCCCAACAACCTTTTTCTGGCCTGGTCCATAAAGGAACAGAATGTTTTTCTCATTAAGGCAAGTGCCTTGGACTCGGTATATATTTTCTTCCAGGTTGGCAGTGTGGAGCATCAGAAAATTAAACCTCTCCTGAATGGAAAAGCCAGGACTTCACCCTGAAACATAAACCCTCCGGCTGAAACGCAGCCTTCTTCCCTTGTAAAAGTACTCAGATCCCCGCTGGTTGTAATCCTTTCGCCTTCAAAAGCCAGGCCAAAGTGCAGTCATACTATCCTGACTGAAAACAGAGGGAAGATGGCCCCATGTTTCACGTTCTCTAATCTGCTCTTTATCAGAGTGTCTGAGGGTCTGGATTGTAACCATACACTGACATTAAAAAACAATCACCTTACCCCCAATATGTCAAAATGTTATCAGGAAGCCCCGCATCTGAGATCTGATATCTAACGGATTGCACAGAACGTCCTCTTTGTCCTGCCCTATCTGTTTCAGTAAAATGAAACCCTGTATTTACTGACATTTCCTCTCAGAAAACATTCCTTTAAACTCAATATGCCCTTCTCCTACCAGCAGAGGGAGGCCTGACCCACTTCCTGAGCTCTGAGACTGCTCAATTAAGTCTTTCAGGGATTCGCCTGGAGGAATGTAAGTTTCATCCTGTTCCAACCCAATGCTGTACCGAGGTCTGGCTTCTTGTCTTTTATACCTAAAGATGCACAGAGGAACATCATTTTAGACACTGAGTTGCAATGATACGGGCAAAACACTGCAGAGAAAACATTAATCCTGGCAGGTTTTACTTTAGCACACAAAAACAATGCAAGATTACATGCTCGGTATTTATTTACCTCAGTAATGATTTCCAAAACACAAATTACAATTATTTTCCTAACTGATTCTTTAAAGTAAACTACATGTTTTTACTCAGTCTTAACCATCTACAACTCTTCTCCATTCCTTTTGATTATTTCCCAACAGGGTATAGTCTGTTAATGTTTCTGTATAGTTCCATTATATTCATGCCCTAAAGCCTTTCCCTATTTAAGGTCCCCCTAATTAATATAGATATAAATTTTTGGTTTGCAAAAGACATTATGGCTAACCTTACCTGTCATGTAAGGTAATATATAGACCAATAATACAGATAAGTAAATATAAGCTTTAAAAAATTTGTTATCAATGGATAGAAATAAATTTATTGGAATCAACTCCCATTTGCAGAATTGTATCATAAATGAGTATTAAAAAAGGCAAGAGACATGAATTTAAAGGTCCTTGATATTACACCAACTACAAAATAAGTTTGTAGGTGACTAAAAGTTTTATAACCACCACAGTTAACTTTAATATAGTAACTAAACTTATTTAATGTGATTATCTAAAACAATCTTTAAAAATCTTTCAATACCAGAGAAATTGTTAACTCAGTAAATAAGTAATTACTAGAACAATCTAAGTTCAACATGCTCATTTCTCTGCTTAGAATCAAACTCAGTAGCAACTAGTTCCTTAATTCCCTAACTGCCCTAATTTCCATAGGGGTGAAATTTATCTGGGTGATTTTGATATCTGAAGTACAAATGAGATAGTATCTATTAATAGATTCATTAGGACAAATACTCATCAATAGTTACAATATTATCAATGAAATCTAAGATCTAATTAGGTTAAATGAAGCTGGGGTGGCAGAGCCAAGGGTAGGATAGTAGGTTGACAAAGATAAACTCAAAATTCTATCTCTACAAGTTGGAAACTTACCTGAAGTAACAGAATAAAATGATAAGGACCAACAGGAAACTACAGACAGTCACAGATATAAGTAAGGCTTTGTGGTGTACAGATCCGTCAACAAAATCTGAAATTAAAAGAGAGTAAGTAGTATCATGATAAAGAGAATATTTTCACCTAAAAATTAGGAAGCAACTCTCTATACACACACACAGGATGTCCCAAAAAATGTATACACACTTTTTTCTGGTAGCTCAATTGCTGTTCCTTTCTTTTCAGATTTAACCCATTGGAATTAATAGTTATTCAAAGTGTGTATATATGTTTTGGGGGGTACACCATGTATATATATCCCAAATTAAATAATTTCAATTAGCATGAATCATCATTCATCTGGCACTTAGTTCAAGAGCATGCTGGAAGAAATGTGCTTGACATCCTATATAATAAAAGGGTAATATGCAAATCGACTGAACAGTGGAACAACCAGTTGCTATGACGTACACTGACCACCAGGGGGCAGGCACTCAATGCAGAAGCTGCCCCCTGATGGTCAGTGCACTCTCACAGGGGGAGCACCGCTCAGCCACAAGCTGGGCTAACGGCTGGCAAGCTCAGAAGCCCACTTCTGCGGCAGCACTAAGGATGTCCGGCTGCGGCTTAGGCCCATTCCCCACAGGGAGCAGGCCTAAGCCGACAGTCAGACATCCTCCAAGAGCTCCCGGACTGCAAAATGGTGCAGGCCAGGCTGAGGGAATCCCTCCCCGCCGAGTACACGAATGTCGTGCAACTGGGCCTATAGTCTATCTATCCTAATAAAAGGGTAATATGCTAATTAGACTGGACATCTTCCGGACATCCTTCTGCACAAAGCCATGGTGGCGGGGACCAAGGCAGAGGCAGTTAGGGGGGACCAGGCTGGCAGGGAGGGCAGTTAGGGGCAATCAGGCCGGCAGGCAGAGGTGGTTAGGGGAGATCAGGCAGGCAGGCGGGGAGGTTAGAGGCGATCAGGCAGGCAGGCAGGTGAGTGGTTAGGAGCCAGCAGTCCCGGATTGTGAGAGGGATGTCCGACTGCCAGTTTATGCTAATTAGACTTGACATCTTCCGGACATCCTTCTGGACAAAGCCACGGTGGCGGGGGCTGAGGCAGAGGCAGAGGCAATTCCTACAGGATCGGGCCTAAACCAGCATTTGGACATCCCCCGAGGGGTCCTGGATTGGAGAGGATGCTGGCTGGGCTGAAGGACCCCCCTCCCCCATGCACAAATTTCATGCACCAGGCCTCTAGTATATATATAAAAGCCTAAGCGACCATTATGACCAAACAACCAGAATGACTGGTCAACCAGTTGCTATGACGAAAACTGACCACCAGGGATAGATGCTCAACGCAGGAGCTGCCACCTGGTGGTCATTGCACTACCACAGCCAACCTCCCACGGCCCCTCCCACGAGCTAGCCGGCCCCCATTGGCCCCTGGTGCTAAACCATTTATAGACAATCTGCTTCTGGGTCGGGGTTTCGTATGTGGCAGAGCAGCTCCCTTGCTGCGATCTATTGAAAGTCAGCCCTCAACACAAGGGTTTGTCTCGCTCCCATCCTCTCACTTCCCTGGGGGCCACCCACCCACCGCAGTGGTGGCACAGTGGCAAGGGAAGGAGCAGGGGGGAGAGGGGAACCGTGTGGTGGCCGGGCACCTACAGCGGCCTTCAGTGTCCGTTCCTTCTGTGCCTGGTCCAGCAACTGTCGCCTCCTCTCCCGACCCTACCAGGGCCTTTGGGCCCTGGGCTGGGGCAGGGAACTGGGGGTAGGTAGGGCGGACATGGCCCCTTTCCCAGGCGGGGCAAGGGTCAGCTCCCTCCTTGGGGCCAGCAGCCAACCTCCTCCGTCCCTTCCCTCGGCCGACAGGCCTCAATCAGCCCAGCCCCAATCGGCCTGGCCCTGATCAGTCCTGACCGCCGGCCAGGCCTAAGGACCCCACCTGTGCACAAATTCGTACACCGGGCTTCTAGTAAGATATAAGTACAGAATATAAACAAATGAAATAAATGGATCAATGCCCCTAGAATATAATTAGGTAGTTCATCTTTATTTCAGATCCAGCTGATGGGTTTACAGGCTTTCCTCATGTGGTTTGTATCATGAATTTGTATTTTCAAAAATCTATATTCATTGTATATAAAACATAGTCATCTTCTGATGGACACAAAGGAATAGAATTCCTCAAATGTTCCCAAGTACAGTATATGTGCATGCACCTCACTTTAAATAAAGATGCCCTTCAAAAATACATACATGAATTTTTCATTAAAAGAATGGGTATGGTCTACTCAAAGAATTACTGTGTGATCCTTTTAAAGAGAAAATTGTTAAATACTAGAGGCCCAGTGCACGAATTCGTGCATGGGTGGGGTCTGGCCAGCCTACCCTGCCCCTGATCGGGGTCTTGGGGGCTGGGCCAGCCGGGGGGGGGGGGGGAGGGGCGATTGGGGCCTGGATCAGGCTGGTTGGCTGCCGCAGTGTGTGTCATAGCCACTGGTCGTTCTGGTCATTTGCCGTTCTGGTCGCTGGGTTTTTATATATATAGATTATTCATGTTGTTTTATCTCAGGTTCCTAACAAATTAGATTTATGTACAGTGTGATTTCTCAAACATCACAGAAATAAGAATAACTTGGACAACTTTAGACAAATGCACATTAACTGACTTCAATGCCAGAGATTTTAATTCAAAGTATTTTTTTTATATTTTACTATAATTTTAAGTGATTTATATGCAGGTAATCTCGGGTACATATTTTGAGAAAATTGGCCTACAATCAGGTACACTTACATAGTAATAATATTAGCACCATTCTATTAAGGGCATCATATATCCTTGAGAGCATGGTTACTGTTATTGAATTTTAAATGATAGTTTTGTAATTTATGACTTTGGTTACTACAGAGAAGAAATTTTCCAACAGTGCTGTATACCTTTAACTGTATGGCTACCTAAACACTTAGGCTGGCGAACGTATACCACCCAATGCAACTTATTTTTCTCAATGAAAAGTATATGTTCCATGAAAAAAAAAAATTACCACAAACTAAACAAAAATAAATTAAATTGCCATCACCTCACTGCTTAGGAAAATTACCACCAACATTTTATTTTATGCCTTTGCAGTATCATTTCAATGAACAAAAAAAGTTCATGAACAAAATATTTCACAAAAAGTTATTATATGCACCCATGTATATAGGAGCATTGTTCATAATAGCTAAAACTTAGTTGGTCCGACGGTTGTGGGTTATTGTTAAGCTGATTAACATTGTTAAGCTGATTAACATAATAGCTAAAACATGGAAGAAATCAGAGTGTCCCCTGACAGATGAATATATAAGAAAAAATGTGCTTTATAAATACCTGGAACATTATTTAGCCTTAAAAAGGAAGGAAATTGTGACATATGCTACAAGATGGACGAATCTTGAGGACATTATGCTAAGTGAAATAACCCTGTCAGAAAGATAAATAATGCATGATTCCACTATATGAGGTGCACAGGGTAGTCAAATTTATAAAGAGGAAAAGTAGAATGGTGGGCTGCGGAATGGTGGAATTGGGAGAGATAAGGTTTAATGGATGTAGAATTTCAGTTTTACAAAATGAAAAGAACTATGGAGATGGGTGGTGGTGACGGTTGTACAACATTATGAAGGTACTGAACACACAGCTGTGCACTTAAAGTGGTTAAGATGATTAAGTTTTATGTTATGTATTTTGTCACAATTATTAGTTTACCAAAATTATTAGTTCAAAAGATATATATTTTGTCCTTTTATACACATTGTCAAAATTTCCTAAAGAAAAGACTGCCACAGTTTCTATTTCCCCATCAATAGGAACATATTTTAATCACTTTGAAATAAAGTCTTACAGAAAACCTGTAAGGATAAAGAATTCCAATATGCCCTTCACAGAGAATTCCAATCTAAAAAATGTTTACCATATTTACTTTATAATTCTCTTGTTCCCTTAGTGTGTGTGTGTTGTGCCTATCTCTATATGCACAGTTGTGTGCTGCATAATGACATTTCAATCAATGACTTCATACATGACAGATTATATAATCTTATCATAGTATAATGAAACTTAAATTCCTATCATCTAGTGTCACTGTAGGTGTCCTAACAGTGTGGTGTAACAAATTACAGTAGCGTAACACGCTATACAGGTTTGTAGCCTAGGAACAACAGACTATACCATGGAGCCTAGGTGTGCAGGAGGCTATACCATGTAGGTGTGTATAAGTGCACTCTATGATGTTCCCACAATGATGAAATCACCTAATGACTCATTTCTCAGAATGTATCCCCATCATTAAGTGATGCATCGCTGGATATACTTGCATTCATGTTTATTTATTTATTTGCATGTGTTTATAACTGGAGAGTCATTTGAAGTTACAGACATAACATACCTACCCATAAACACTTCTGAGTGCCCTTCCTGGGAACAAGGACATTGTCTCACCAACTGGTAATCTAATTACCAAAATCAGGAAATGAACATGAACATATAAGTTGAAAATCAAGCTTACTCTGAAATATTTCAGAGTTTAGATTATTTATAATAAATTAAAATCCACATATCTTTCTATTAATTTCTTTCCCTAATATTATAATGGTTAACATTATGATATACTCATTAGTCTAAAATATATGTTTAACAATTAGTTATGAGCTATATTACTGGCCAAACATACTGGAAATAGTCTGCATCTGAAAAGACTAAATGAGACACCATTAAAATAAGCAGTTTATGCTCAGCCGGTGTGGCTCAGTGGTTGAGCGTCAACCTATGAACCAGGAAGTCACAGTTAAAATTCCCAGTCAAGGCATATGGCCTGGGTTGCGGGCTTGATCCCCAGCATGGGGCACGCAGGAGGCAGTCAATCAATGATTCTCTCTCATTGCTGATGTTTCTCTCTCTCTCCTCCTCCTCTCCCTTTCTCTCTGAAATCAATAAAAATATACATATCTATACTAATAATAGAGAAATATGCAAATTGTTTGAGATGCCGTCACAGTAACAGTAACAACTGAACAGCAGGCTGGCAGGCTGTGTGGGGTGACCAGGCT